GATATGGCACAAACTGGCGTAACATCCTAAGTCTGTTGTGGCTTGGCTGCGCCAGCCCTGGCTTGGTTTCACCTTGATCCATTCTCCCATTCTGGTCTTGTTGCTTTGTATTTTAGCAATACCCAGTTTACAAATTGAACCAACTATCCCTTAAACATTGCTCTTGAAATATAAAATAATGTATCTTGAACTGTCTCATTGTTGGGTAGCTATATAATCTGAAACTACTTGAATGATATGCTTATTGTTTTCTAAAATGCATTGAGTCATATTTGTAATGCCTTGTTATGTTGTACTTTTCAGTATTCCTTTTTCAAGCAATTTTATGGATCCGTCACCAGATCAGACTACATGACACTGAGACTTGGTTTTATCATGGTAAGTATCTAATGTGTGGTTTGTGTTTGCTTTTATGTTTGTTTATTTTCTTATTGCTACTTCACAAGCATTTGCGTTAATGTTGAATATTTTTTTTTTTACTGGTAGACACATTGCAGGGGAAACCCAAAGTTCAATTTTCACGAGTATATGATTCGTGCCCTAGAAGATGATTTTAAGAAAGTTGTTGGTATAAGGCAAGTGATAACTGGGATTACCTGTTTAAATGCTAAAGCTTCTTATGGCTTCTTTTGTTTGTTCATTGGGCATATTGCCAAAATTAATAATTTTTTTTTTTTAAGGAAAAAAAAAAAACAGAGTTTTTAGTACTGGTTTCCCATTGTATAGTACTAGGAGGGTATTGCCTAAAAATAGAATTTCCTTTTATTTTAATATCCATCTTTGTGCCTTTTTTTTTTTCATGGGTTAATATCAGATTTGGTTGGTTGCAGTTGGTATCTATGGATATTTGTGGTCATCTTCTTGTTGCTGAATGTCAGTGGTGTAATGGGGTAGGGGTGGGATAGTTAATACCACACTAATTTGATAGGATTATTAATACATCACTATTAGTATTGTGAATCAAACATGGCCGGAGGGTATTGCCTAAAAATAGAATTTCCTTTTATTTTAATATCCATCTTTGTGCCTTTTTTTTTTTCATGGGTTAATGGCCCTGTTTGGTACAGCTTAATTTCAGCTTATTTCAGCTTTCAGCTTAATTTAAGCTATTTTGATGTGTTTGGTTTAGCTTATAGCTTATAGCTTATAGCTTTGTGGAAGTCAGAAAACAGCTTATTCTTTGAGTGGGGCAGGAGATGCTTTAAGAATAAGTTGGAAATCAGCTTAAGCTGAAAGCTATAAGCTATAAGCTGTTTAGGCATAAGCTATAAGCACTTTTCCACAGCTCTACCAAACAGGGTCAATATCAGATTTGGTTGGTTGCAGTTGGTATCTATGGATATTTGTGGTCATCTTCTTGTTGCTGAATGTCAGTGGTATGTTACTTTCACTTTAAATCCTAATGCCAAATGTCGTCAAGCGAATTGATTATTTTCTTGTGCTTTAATTTTAGTTTCATGTTGTTGCTCAATGTTATTGGGGTTCAGTCAAATGTTTAGGTTTGTTACTCAAAAAGTGTTTGGAGTTTTCTATTTTGTTTTATTTATTTTTAATTTTTGTGTGCGGGTGCTCAAATTAGATGGGAAGAGGTTTAGACTCTTCCAAGTTACAGTGACAAGTTCCTGAACACAAAAGTTGGTCTCCTCCCAAATTTCTGGATTCACCTGCACAAATCTCTGTGATATTCATTATCCTTTTTTTTTTTAATTTGTGTCATTATATTATTGTTTCTGGTTTTGGCACATGTTAAGATATTTAGATGAAAAGTGATTTATTATTTTGTTTTGCAGGGTGGCATACCTATTTTTGGATAGCTTTCATTCCTTTCATCGTGAGTTGTTCTAATATAATCTGTGTACTTGGTCATGCATTTTTTACCTATCATAATTGTCTTCTCAATGTTTTATTTTACTCCTCAAAAAATTATGTTTAATGAATATGTCAATTTTTTTATATCTTGTGTTTGCTTGCTGTTTTATCTGAACTTGTATAAAATCCTTTGAATTTCAAGTTTCAATTCCCATAAGACGTATTTAAATTTGTGAAGAGCATGTGCTCCACCTGCACATTGTGATCTTTGAGTAGCTATTTTGTCCTGGGTGCATGTTATAGTGCTTGTAACATTTTACTTACAGCAAATGAACAATTGTGTTTCTCTTGCATGTTTGCTTGGATTTCCATTTTGGAAATCAAGTACCAAAAATTTTTGGTTGTGGGTTGAGAGCAGCGTACAACTGTTTGATGTATTAATAAGTTGTAGCATGCTCTCACAATATGTTCTTTCACCCTTATTTTTTATGCCTATAACTGAGATTCATTCATTGACAGTTACCATAGTTATGAAGCCTGTTAACCAATATTTAACTAATGGTGGCATGAATATAAACTATCAAACAATTTTGAATTTCAAGCGCGATGGCCAAAGCCACTTGAAGGGCGTAATAAACTAATAATTTGAATTGCACTCCCATCAATGAAGTTACCAAGCAAGACAAAATTCATAGAGACCATCAGATTATAAGAAATAATTAACTCAAATTTATTCTAGTACTTTATATTTAAATAGTAATTATTTATATTTACCAAAAAACAATTTGTAGTTGACACTAATCTCCAATATTTATTATATTTCAACTATAAATAAGAATTGCACTCCCATCAATGAAGTTACCAAGCAAGACAAAATTCATAGAGACCATCAGATTATAAGAAATAATTAACTCAAATTTATTCTAGTACTTTATATTTAAATAGTAATTATTTATATTTACCAAAAAACAATTTGTAGTTGACACTAATCTCCAATTTTTATTCATATTTCAACTATAAATAACGATGGTTCTGTCTATTCAATGCTATTGTATCTGATGCATCTCTCTTTTTTTTTGGTCGAAATACCTGATACATATCTTTGCATTAGTTAACAAGACATGGGAACTTTATATTCTAAAGCATTTCCAATGGTTTGTCTTTATCTCTCTTGTTTAGTATCACTCGCACAGCTGGTCGGTTTGACATAGAACTTTAATGGCTAATGGGTTGTTCTTATGAAAGTGTTATTGTTTATGACGTCTCTTATATGTAATTATATCTGTTATTTATTTTTCAGCGTCTACTAGCTGTGGGCACTAAGCTGGAGCATGTAATCAGCCAGTTGGCTCATGAAGTTGCAGAGAAACATGTTGCAATAGAAGGGGAATTAGTAGTTCAACCTTCAGACGATCATTTTTTATTTCATCGGCCCGCATTGTCCTTTACTTGATACATTTCATACTATTCCAAAATGCTTTTGAGATAGCATTTTTCTTCTGGATATGGGTAAAGCTGATACGAAATTGCTTCTTCTCATTTTTCTTAGAACTAGTATTTCCAGATATTTTTATATGCTTGAATCACTTGCAGGTTCAATATGGTTTTGACTCTTGCATAATGGGACAAGTCCGTTATATGTTACCGAGGCTTGTTATAGGGTGAGAACCATTGACAGCTTTTCTCCTTGAATTCTTTCTCATTTTGGCTTTTCTAAATTTTAGCGTCTCTCTGAATAATGTATACACACTATATGATGCATTGTTTTGTAATCCTAATTCGATTTGTTTACTGTTAAGAGTTACAATGAACATTATCATTTGTCCTTTTAGGGTATTCATCCAGGTGCTCTGCAGTTATAGCACCCTACCACTCTATGCCATCGTAACACAGGTAAGTTCAATGGCAGTCTAATGCAATAATAATATAACTTGGCATGTGATGGACAAATCTGACCCCATTTATTTGTTCTTTTTCACTTTGTTTTTTTCTCGTGTGCACGCGCAATGAAATGAAGACGGGAACTTCTTTCAAGAAAGCAATATTTGATGAGCATGTGCAAGTGGGGCTTGTTGGTTGGGCTCAGAAAGTGAGGAAGAAGCAGTTGAAGGCGGAAACTAATGTCTCTGTCGGAGGAAAATCTACTGATGGTTCAACTATGGGAATTCAGTTGGGAAGGCTTGCCGGCAAGGAATCTGCACCAGAGGATATTTCGCCCACAACTGCTGCTGCTCAAGGACATAATAAATAAGATCTTCGGATTTTTGGAACTGATAGTAGACACGGGTTTCTCTCTCTCAATTTTAATTTTGTTGGTTTTGTGCCCATGATGGCAATATATCTATATGAATGATTAAAAGTCGGTTGAATCGTAGGTGGCTTAATAGAAGTAATTATATTAATTATGTCAGCGATTTGCCCAGTTTTGAAGTATGGTTATTCCTTGAGATCATCTTCCTCTCCAAAACCCTGCAGTAATTGAAGCCCTGTGCACTCACTGAGTATGAGGGACAATTGATTTTTATCTGTGAAAGAAAACTGTCAAAGCTTATGGGTTCTTTCCAATACATATTTCATACATGTATGCGTATACATAGTTATTTGGAATATGAGCTACCTGGTTGGTACATTGTATTATTATTTATATATATATATATATGTCCTTACTTTAAGTCATATATATATATATATATACACATATGCAAGTGAAATAAAAAGACAAAAGTATATAAGGTGATAAATATTATTTATGGAAACGTAATTAATTTGTTAAATTCTTAACTGGAAAAACTATATGCACAAAAACAAAAATAGGGTTGATATATATGTATGCTATATCACTTATGTTTTTTTATCATTTTATTATGTAAAATGGTGATAAAAAATTGGTGAAATAATGATTTATTATTATTATTTTTAATAAAAAAAGGAAAAAGAAACCAAACAAAAGCAAAATTGAATTGTACAGGTAGAAAAGGGAACCAGTTTTGAAAATTGAAATTGAAATTTGCCTTGTGCACAAGAGGCTAATGTAAAATATTTTTTTCTTTGGAAAAAATCAATAAAAAATAATTCAGTGGCATGTATTATTCCAAACTGTGTGGATGACAAGGGCTCTTCTCTTCTCTTCTGTTCTCTTGGTTCTCTCCCTCCTCCTTTTACTCCTTTCTTACTCTGCTCCTCTTTCTTCCATTTTAATAAACATTCTCTCTCTCTCTCTCTCAAACACACACAGGGATGCACCCAGGTTGACACTCTCAAGGATATAGGGGAACAAGAAAACAAAACATGCTCTACTGACTCACTCAAAGAACATACCAATTATCAACTACAATTCAAACTCCAATTTTCAATCTCTCTCTCTCTCTCTCTCTCTCTCTCTTATAAAAATGGCAACAACAGGAGGATCGATAGCGATTTCGAGCTTTCCGTCGTCTTCATATTTTAGCAGTCGCAAAGCCAAAGCCACCTCCACACTTCCATTGGTAATTCCCCTAAAACTACACATTTCTATATAATATTGGCTTTACTGTAAATAATTTCTTAGTCGTTCTTTCTTTGTAGTATAGTGCTATGCTAATTGGTGTTTTTTAATCTCATCCACTGCTTTTCCTCTGCAAGACTTCTTTGCTATTTTACATTTTCAAAAAAACAGAAGAAAAAAAAAAAAAAAAAATTAACATAAAGATTGGTTCTGGAATTTGTACAGTAAAAATCGCGAATTTGAAGTTCACATTCGTAAGTTTTTCCCATTTTTTGGGGGACCAACTTGAACAAAATGTAGACTCTTAACTGTGCTTTTGCAAATCAACTAGAAAGCCAAGTCGATCCAAGTTTGTATTGGCAACAATAGCAAAAACTACTAAAATGGTTAAAATGCTTGATATGTGGTTGTGTTTATGGGCATATTGCATAAACAGATGGTCAGCAAATTAGTCGCTTTGCGCCAAAGAATCACCTGCTCTGCCGTGCAAGAATCATCAACACCTACTGGTATGGCTTTGTCTTTTTATCACTCCAAATGTGTCCAGTTATGAACTCATACTCTTAAAAGGCCTCAGTTTATAGGTATTTTTGGGTCTTATTGTTGATGCCATTTATAATGGTCATGAATTAGTTGCTGCTGCTGAAACAAAGGACACAAAGGAGGTGAAAACAGAGGCTGCCAAAGAAGAAGAAGACGAAGAAAAAGAATCAGCCCCGACAAAACCAAAGGCCCCCGCCAAGGCTCCTGCCAAGCCGCTACCGCAGTTGATGGAGGAGGAAGTGATCCCTTCACTGAAAGCAATTCTTGAAGCTCAAGATGATATCTCAGAGCTTGAGCTTTCTTTTCAAGACAACAGGGTTAGTCCTCTGCTCCCAATCTTACCAAAACTGTGTCATTAACAACTCCTAGTTTGGCTAATGATACATACTAAGAAACCCCAACAAACAAATCAGAAAAGCTATGAAGCCACAAAAATCAGTCCTGAAATTTACCAGAATCTTGTTGGTTGGAGTAGATTCAATTTTCTATAATGGGAACTATTAATCCATCTCAACCATTCAATCCTTTTCGTTTACAATTCTCAGAACTTTGGTAAACATAAACATTGACCAAAATGGACACTTAGGCCTCGTTTGGAAACAGGCTTTTTTAGTAACTTTTTGACTTTTTGGCTAAAATGTGATGTAAAAAAACTAGTATGTTTGGGATGACTTTTTGACTTTTTACGAAAAGATGTGCAAAAAATAGAGAGAAAAGAGAATCTTTGACTTTGGCCCCGTTTGGTAGAGCTGTGGGAAAGTGATTATAACTTATACCTTAACAGCTTATAGTTTATAATTGTGAACATAAACTGATTTTTTACTTGTAAATTAAGCTTCTCCTCCCCCACTCAAAGAATAAGTTGATTTTTGACTTACAAAAAGCTATAAGCTATATTATTCAGTTGAACCAAACACATCAAAATAGCTTAAATTAAGCTAAAAGCTGAAATAAGTTGGAAATAAACCCTACCAAACAGGGCCTTTTTGGTATGAGTTGTTGGCTTTTTGGTTTTTTTAGTGACTTTTTGATTTTTTGGCTAAAAAAACCACTTGCCAAACGAGGCTTTAGCATCTATTTGTTTGCAACAATGCTAGAAATCCATGGGTAAATTATACTATAGCATCTATTTGTTTGCAACAATGCTAGAAATCCATGGGTAAATTATACTAACCTCTATAGTTTGGCTTAAATTTCACTGTAATTTCTATTATTTCAAATTGAACAATTTAATTCTACCCTGTCTGATTTCAATTTGGTCCTTCTGTCGAAATTTGTGTTAATTGTTTCTACATGTACCCTTCAAAAAAGTGACAGGTGTTAAAAAATCATTAATTTTAAACTCTAATTTGAACATTATGACCAAATTGAAACTAAACTTAAAGAGTAGAGATCAAATTATTCAATTTGAAATAATAGAAACTACAATAAAATTTGAGTCAAACTATAGGGGTGAAAACTATAATTTACCCCCAAAAGTCGTTTGGTGTCTATTTTTATTTTCAAAAAATTATAAACAGTTAATAAATTTACTAAAGTTCCGTAATATTTTTTTTTGGCTGTCAAAAATGTAGTTCATATGGTTAAAAAATAAATTTTCATTCTTTCATTCCTCTTTCCCACCCTCTCCAACCACCGACCACCACATTTGACCACCCACACCTTTGGCCCACCGTCACCGGTGACATCCGTAGCCCACTGTCAGTAGAGACCTCCTCCACTCATCACCTCTGGCAGCCGGGAACCACCTATGGCCATCACCTCACACCAAATATCACCTCCCATAGCTAACAACCATCTTTAGCCACCGCCTTTTAATTTCAAAACAAATTTTAAAATCACATATGAATATTGTTCTGTTTTTATTTTTTTTTCAAAAATAAACAAAAACATGTTTAATACAATAACCTATGAATGTTTACCAAACAACACGAGATTGTCGCTCATTTTGTTTGGTGTTTGATCATGTTGAAACAGCTAGAAGGTTACTTTCTAAAGGACTATCCTTACTCGTTTTGGGCCTTCTTCCCTGATGGAGTTCTCACAGGTAAGTTATCTGTTGGCAAACTTGAAACTATGCTCCCTTGGCTACTACCTCATTGCACATAAAAAAATGAGCAAATCTAGTGCATGAGACTCTTGCTAAAGTCGGTCTGGATTTACCCATTGCTCATGTAATTTGTAAATCATAGTTTCTCTCTAACTGTACAGGTCCGAAAGGATTTTCTCTGTCCTCCTACGGGTCTGTAGTGAGCACTGTTGAGCCTTTCCTCGTTGATGAGAAGAAAATCACTGCAAAACATGTTGTGTTCTGGGTTGAGAAGCGTTTAGCAGCACAAGGAATAATTCCTGTGTGGAAAGAAGAATAATCTAATTGTGAAGTTTCCAATTCAATCAAAATGTTGTATGTATCAATTTTTGGTTTCATTGATGATGATGATGATGATATAGCATCTTGTTCTTGAAGGTATGCAATTGTTTATATTTATCTAATTGCATTCAACGACGGCATTTGTTATATAGTGAAAGAAAAAATAGGATGACAGAGCCCTGCAATGATCTATCTACTGATCTAATTGGATATCCTGAAACATTGAGCTAATACACTATATTCATTTTTCTATTGATTACCCTAATTCCTGTATGTTTTGCTGCATCTTAAATATGATCATTTTTGTTTTTTTTTTGGTTTGTTGGGAAATCTTTGTGCTAGGTTGAAAGCTTTTATATAATCATGAAAGCTGACTTATATATATATATATATATATATTTGGTTAACAAGAAACCCTAATCATACTTTGTATAATTGGGTACTTGCAAGGCACATGTATTTGGCAAGCCCTGGAATCAAACTAGAAACCTTGCTTTCATGAGGAGCAAGCCTTGCAGGTCAAAAAGGAAACCACAGAGTAGAAATTGAAATGGGAGAAATTTCACCATGCTCTATAAGAATTTCATCCTATAAAATGTAAATAGATGCTAATTTCATTTTCATGATTGCTTGTGTGAAACTGATTGCACAAAAAACCTTTTCTACTTTGCTATCAAATTAAAGGACAAAGCATCTCCAATGAACTGTTCAAATTTGTATGTGAAAGTGTATTATATTACAAAAAAAATGATAAAAGTGGAGCCTGATTTTGTGTGTAAAGTGGCCTTTTTTCTTTTCTTTCTTTTTAAAAAAGTTTAGAGAGTAAGGCCTTGTTTGGAAACAGGCTAATTTAGTAACTTTTTAGTTATTTGGCTAAAATATGACTGAAAAAAATTAATATTTTTGGGATGACTTTTTAACTTTTTACGAAAAGATGTGCAAAAAGTAGAGAGAAAAGAAAATCTTTGACTTTTTGATATTGATTGTTAGCTTTTTGACTAATTTAGTAACTTTTTGACTTTTTGACAAAAAAATTCGGTTGCCAAACGAGGCCTAAGTACCCTAATGTAGTTAAAGTGTGTTAAAATGTGTTATATAAGAGGCTCGTCCACTTAAATGTGTATTTATAAAAGGGCAGATTGAGTAGTAGAAATACAAGGGCAGATTGATTGCAATGTACACAATGTCACGACAAATGCAAAACATGTACTACACACTTGGTCATCACAACTAGCTTGGTTCATTCAATAAGCACAAGTTGCAAAATATGTGAAACTTGGTAAAATGGGCCGACTTACATTCACTCAAAGGCAACAGGGGACCAAGTGCAGACTGCCAAACTCGAGACAAAGATCAAAAGAAGTCTAGGAAGCTGAAAATCATCTGAACCAGAGTTCACAAGGTCAACAGTTCAATCACTCTATAAGAATCAGCATATCTTATCTCTATAATTTCTTCCATCACAGCATTAGCAAATCTTCAGACAAGTGCATACCCAAAAAATCTTAGACAAGTGGTTGTGTCTTAGACCTGTGTGTTTTGGCAACTCGTGTAATCTGTTCTTCGAAAATGTCAAAAGAGATGCTAATAACCAAACACAGCCATCATTCACATTACTCAGTAAAGAACATCAACAATTTTAACCCAATTCACCACATAAAGTACATACCTTCATACACGAAGAATACTGCATTCACATACAAGATGTATAGCCAGTTTGTGATAATAAGCAAGCAACATATGGATAAAACAACCATCGTAGACAATCAAAATCTTTCAGTGTAAGACAAGACAATCTAAATAGATTCTCTATAATGGGACCTAATCTACCCATACAATTGTAATCAAGACGTACACACACACACACACACACCATATTGATACAACTTTGTGTTCTTCTATGCATGTGCCAAGCGCAAAACCATACTTTTTTTGCCTAATAAACTAGAAATTGCCTAATTAGTAGAATACTTCAAGGTTTGATGAACACATACAATAAACCGCATTGCTCATACAGTCCAAAGTATTCAGAAAGTCCAAGCCAGACAAAAGCTTCAAGTTGTGATTTCGATCTTAGGTGTCGGAGCTGGCATTTGCATCACCTATTGCACGCCGAAGTTCACTGAAGAAATCCATCTGCAAACCAGAAGGTCTGGCGCTGACTGCAGGAGGCTTCTGTTTGGTTGAGTTTTCAGAATTTATTTTCTGAAAAATTTTCAAAAGCTAATTTGGCTGGGAAAAAAAAAAAGAAACTCAATATTTTCATATGATTTTCTCTTTTTTGGTAAAGAAATAATTTTTAAAAATTCAAAAATAACTTCTTGGATGTTTATTGTTCCCCCGCCCTGATGCATCACTCCCTGAATACATAACAGGTCTTTTTGAAATAAAAAGAAAAACAGAAATAAGAACCAATGTTTGCGAAAACATCAAACATAGCGAAGGCAAAATTCTTTATTTGAATACAAATATCCAAGAATAATGAAAACAAAGCAAAGCATATGGCAAATCCTAAACAACCTAAACATTAGTCTAAACAAAGGCAGACGACAAAGCTTTTATTTAACCAACACAATTACCTTGTACTTGATTAGCAAGAAAAGATACATATATGTATATATATATATTTTGGGGGTCAGCCTGAGTTTCCCCCAGCTTGTTAAGTAATTGTGGCTGATGGTTTCTGAGAGGGTAATTTTTGGGAAAAATTGGGCCGAGCTGCGAGTTGGGCATCGAGGCCCAAAACGCGTAGGACTAAGTAAGAAGGCCGCAATAGATAGTCCGGCCCAGAAGGGCAAAGTTACTCCGGCCTTGGGAAGACAAAGTTACTTCAACCCAAGGAAGTGAAATTACTCCGGCTCAAGAAGAGATAGTTACTTCGGCCCAAAGAAGAGTAAAACTACTCCGGTCTGGAGGCAACTCACAGTTAGGTCGGTCTCAGAGTTAGTCCGGTCGCAGTATGTTCTGGGAAGACCGGTTTCGGAATTAGTCCGGTCGTGACACACTCTGGTTAAGTCGGTCAGAACTTGTTACTTGGAAGTTTGATCTAAGCATACCAAGGTTGAACAGGGGCAGCCGAAGTAATGAGTTAAAGGAGAAGACCGAGCTAAGGATAGTTCGGCCTTCTCTGTGGCTCAGCATAGCCAGTGTTATTTCGGTCGTGTGGTAGTTCGGCTATGGAGAAAACCATCCCACTTGGTTTAAGCAGTGGGGGAGGGTGTAAAAGGATAAGCATTATCCTTAGGAGTATGAATCCTAGGAGGACTCTGCATGGAGAAATACAAGTCCTACCAGGATTGTGCCACGGGAAACTTATAAAAGCCTACAAGCATCACCTTGGAGGAGGTAATTGAACACAATCTTTTTGAGAACTTAGAGCTTTGTCTATTTGTCAAGTTTTTCTGACTTAGGCATCGGAGAGGTTTCCGGCACACACCCGCCGGCTAGCTCACGTTTGTGTTTTCAGGTGACAAAGCGACGTCGTACGGAGGAGCGTGGACTTGGTCAACAGGATTATACGAGGAGAATTATTTCCTCCCCGTACAGTTTCATAGGCCATGCTACCCCTTGCCTTTGTGCAACATAAGGCTTTCTCATTCACCCAAAAAAGAACTAATGTTAAACTTTTTGAGAATAGGAATCAATGAGTGACAAAAGAAATGAAAATAGGAAAAAACAAATTTTAATAACACCTTGGAACAATCTTGTGAATTTCCATTTTTGACAGGATAAATGATTGAACTCAACATGTGTTGCCCCCAATACAGATAAACGCAAATTGATATGGTTAATGAAAACAGAAGAAAGAGGAAGAAATGACCAGCTGCAAAGGTTGGAAACAGTGAAGGAAAAGGAAAAAAGAAGGGGGGGGGAGCAGAGAATCACCATCAGAAGAGAGGGATGTAATAAGGGTGTATTTGACAATTGGCGTTTTTAGCCAAAAGGTCATACAAAGAAGTCAAAGTTCCTTCCTATTCTCTCTACTTTTGTACATGTTTTTTTTTTTTTTTTTTTTTAAAAAATCAAAAAGTCATTCCCAAACACTTCAGTTTTTTCCACCTCATATTTTAGTAAAAAAGCTACTAAAAAAGCCACTTCCCAAACCAACCCAAGTCACTACCAATAAAATTCAAATTTTGTCACCCCATGTAGCTCCTTGTTTCAATTCTTTCGAAGTCGATGGATCTTTTTCCTCATTCGAGAATCTCCTCCTTTCTGCCACTCCATCTCGATGAGTAACTAAGACCATTTTAGTCATGTTTTCATGTTCCAATTGAACATTTTCCCTGGTGGATCATAAAAAACCATGGCTTGGCAATCATTGCTGATTTCCTTCAGTACCTTGTAATTGAAATGTGTTGTGTACAGCATACCACTCTAATCTGAGTTGTTGATACATAGCCTACAAGCATACCACAGGGGCTTAAGAAATGCTATGTATACAGTTTATTCTACTACATCTTCAGGATCCAAGCTAGACATTCTGAAATTGAGTGCATTATTTATAAGCAAGCTCAATAGATTAAACTAGTTGCTGAAATGTTATGATATACCCGGCTGTATGATAAGAAGTAAAATTTCACTAACTGCAAATTGATTATTTGATCAGAGCACTGACGAAGAAGATGAAAATGTCAGCCAGAAGATTAACCCAAGATCAAGAGCTTACTGTTGAAATCATAGAGACTCCACAGAGTTCCAATAGATCCAAATTATCATGCTTGAGAGGATGCAGGGTATGCATATGCATACGTACATGTACATGTACACGAATAAATGAAAATAAATAACCAAGATAACAATAGGGCATGATGAGATTTGGTCTTATAGAATCCAAATATGAGGCCAAGTTCAGAAACAATTAACTCCATCCATAGACCAAATCTCACCACTTTTAGTCAGAAACAAAAGTTTAACTTTGAAGTGATTTGTCCTTTTTCCAAGCTCGTCAAAACCCTAGAAAGTCACTCATTCTGGACAAACGAAATTGAAACAAAACTAGTACTCCCTCCGTCCCAAAATATTGGTCCCTTTTGGGGAATCCAACTTTTTTTGGTAGTACACTTATTGCATTTGAAAAAAGTTGATTTTCCAAAATTACCCTTTTGATAGTACATTTTTTTGGAATATCAATGTCATAATTGTACTTTTTAAATTGTTTATTAATTTAAAAGAAGGGCAAAATAGGAAATTTACATTATTTTTGTACTTGATTTATAAAGAGAGACTAATATTTTGGGACAATGAAAAATGGAATAAGGGACT